AAATAAATGAACTGAAATCGATATAAATTATGTATTTAAATAACCGAATAAAATTATTAAAATAATCGATTACAACATTTTTTGTTAATTAAAAAATTGTATTTATTATAAATAATATAAAAGAAAAACTAAACTGTAAACGATTTAAATAAATCATATAATTCGAATAAAATGAATCGCATAATCGAATAAAATTAATAAATTTGATCGATTAAAAATATTCATAATAATTATTAAAATAATTAAATTTTCTATTAATTATATAAAGAAATGAAATTCACAGAAATCGATTTAAATTACATGATTAATCGAATAAAATATTTTAAATATGTAATCGAATAAAAAAAAATAATTTAAACAAATTTTTTTTTTTTTTTAATATTATAAAGAATAACTAAACTAAAAACGATTTAAATTATTCATTTAATCGAATAACAATTTTCGTATAACCGAATAAAATTAATTAATTTAATCGATTAAAAAGATTCATTATAATAAAACTAATTAAAATTTCCTTAAATAATACAAATCGATTAAAATTATTTGAATAATTTGAGAAATTTCTTCGAATAATCGGTTCAAATAATTCGGTTAATAGTTTCTTTAGAAACTAAGCGACTAATATACAGTGGACGTCCACTAGTACGAATTATATAGTGTCAGGCCCTTTCGTAATACCGAATAATTCGTATTATTGAACAACACATTTTGTATGTTTAAATTCAAATAATACACATAAAATATTGGATTTTATTTATTTTTGTTTTATTTTTCATGAAAAATTACATAACGGAACAAAATATAATAAATGTGTATTATTTTAAATAAATTTCTTGTACATAAACAGGCATAAAAGGGACATATTTACGTATATGAATTGTTAATTTTGAAAGTATCGTGAGTCCAATGGTTGAAATGAGATATATGTAGAAGGTATTAAATTTTAATGTTTTTAAAAAGATGTGTGCCAAAGACAATTTGCAATTTACATATGTGTTCTAAAATGTATTAAAATGTTCAGATTACATAAAACATTTATTAGAAACTTGAATGGAATATACCACAATTCTCTAATTTATAATTTTCTCTTAAAAATTAGAATAGTTATCCTTAAACCCATTGTTTGGAATGTGGAGTCACACTACTTTCAAAATTAACAGTTCATACATACATATGTATATAAATATAATTTTACTTATTAAAAAATCCATCATTTAACATCGATGTTTATTACATTGTAAAATGATTCTTACGGCTTTTTCAATAACAGCGCTTTTGAGGCTTCAATATTGTTCTCAGCAGAGTTATTGTCGGGAACTAATAAAATACTTTCCTCATTGGCGTTATCATCCAATTTAATTTCTTCTCTTGGGTCATCAAAATTCCAATAAAATAAATTAATAACACTAAATAATTGTTGATTTGTAAATATACATGCAGTAAATTGTGTGTATAGGATTTTTAAAAATACAAAACACTTGTAATAAATACAAAAAAACTTCAAAATTACTGAGCTTAAGGTGAATGATACCGAAATAATAAAATAAAACATAATAACTTCATTCATACGTAAATAAAACCAAAATTCCCATAAAAAATGCGTTATTCGTACTATCGAACAGAAAAATTGTGACTTTATTCGTACTATAGAGTAGACAATGCAACAATTTTGCCATTCGTATTATTGGATATTCGTAATAAAGAGTGTACGTACTATTGGACGTCCACTGTAATATATAATAATATTTAATGATACAAATGAATTATTGTAATCGATAATCGAATAAAAAATTTTTAATATTTAATTTTTAATATTTAATGAAACAAATGAATTATTGTAATCGATAATCGAATAAAAAATTTTTAGTCGAATAAAATTATTCAATTAATTGTTTTCTATAAATTAAATGATTATTTTAAAATAAAACTATAAATAAGAATTGAAATAATTATTTGAAAAACAAACTGAATAAAAATCTAATCGAATAATCGGTTAAAAAAACATAATAGAATTTTAAATGCAAAATACTTTTAAAAAATTTGTTTTCAGAAAATTTTAAGATTATTTGCTTAATGTTTAAAAAACTGCAAACAAAATTAACGAATAAAATTAACCGATTGATTAATCGCTTAAAAATATTATTTATATAGATTAGAATAAATATATGTTATTAATGTCAATGAAAACTTTAAAAACAATTGGAAGAGAAAAATAGAAAAATTTATTCGAATAATAGATTAAAATATTTTATTCGAATAATCGATTAAAATATTTCCTTTGAATACTAAACGCTTCAAAATGTTCCCCTAAAAATATATATTTTGCGAAAATCTAAGATTATTTGTGTATTATGTAAAATATATTCGAATAATTGTTTTGAAATTATCCGATTAGAAAATTTTCGGTAAATTTATTAAGTGTTGCTTGTTTATAACAAATTTGAATTAAATGGTTTATTCGAATAATCGATTAGCATAAATATATTCGATGTTAGGTTTTGGCAATAACTGATTATAATTATACAAGTATTTTATAATTATAAGCGAATAATCGATTAAAATTACTTGTTTTAATCGCATAAAATATATGGACAATTTCACGTCAAGTGACCCAACACAAAAAATCGATTTTGATGAAATTTCTATCGGTAAAGAACTGCTGGAGTTAGAGGGGGTCAAAGTTTGACATTTTGGTCATACAGGGTTTTATTCAAATGAGTGTAACATTTCACATATTGGACTTATCAAAAATTTTCCAAAGGAATTCAGATAGCTAGTTCTACATTGTTTCCAAAAATTTTTTTATTTTTTTTAAATGTTTTTTTTATGGGCCTTTTTTCAAAAGGAAGTTTATAAAATTTCCTCAAAGTCCGACAGTTCTTGACCGATAGAACTGAAAATTGGTATCTGGCCTACTATCCAATCGTACTAACCTTGGTGCAAATCGAAATGCAAATCCAAAGAATCCAAATCGGAAGACATCGATTTTAAAAGTTGGGCCACTTGACACGAATATAAAATCTTTCGATTTTCTATAATACAGTCCAACAAAATTTGCGATAGTCGTAACAGGGCTTAAATCTTATTTTAAAGTCCACAGATTGAACATTCAGATGATATGACAAATTTTACAAATAATTGTGTATTCGCACTGCTATAGTATCCAAAACAAAACCGGATTTTTATAAACTTCATGATACGATATCTGGAAAACCTTTTGTAATGGATATATTCTGAGACCAGATTGGAATTTAGCGCTTCTTAAAAAAATTGTTGGACTGTATAATCTATGTGCGTATTCGGATTATCTTAATAGCTTAGACGTCTAAGCAATGTCCATTTAGCGTTGTTTGTATATCTGTCCGTATGATTATTGAAACAAATTTTCTAAGAAGCCAGATATATTCGAGATCCAAATATTTTCGAGAATTTCACATTTCGAAATCAGCAAAACAAGTCCACAATTAAAGGAGTTTGAAATAAATTTCCGAAAAATATCGTATTTCTCTACATTAAGATATATATCGAACGGTATGTTCTATACATAGGCAATATGTATATCAAAAGAAAGTTATTTCGGAGACCTTTCACATGATAAAAATACATAACTTTTAGAATAGTAAAAATAATGTAAATTTGTGACAGATTGAGAAAATATTTGTACAAAATTATTTTTAACCTAAATTTTAACAAAAGTTTTTTTTAATAAAACAACATTTGCTTTTTAAAGATGTTTTTTTTTATATTTTTTATTTCAATCACAGCACAGAATACAGAGATTATTTCTTTTTTTTTCTTTAATTTTTAACATAAAATGTTAAATGAATATATTTTTGAATGAGTGACTGAGTATGAACGTAGTAAATTGTTTATATAGAGTTTTTTGTTTGTTTTTTTTTCTTAATGTGAATGAAATAGTTTTTCTTAAATAGAGTTTATATGACTGTTTTCTTTCTTTTGTTTATTAAACTATATAGAAAAGGTAGAAAAAAACTTAAGGATTTGTTTTTAAACATAAAACTAATTAAAAGAGAAAAGGCTAAATCAGTTTTAGTTTTTAGATTTTCGTTTTGGTTAATTTCTATATAACAACAACATTATTAATTTCAACTACTTTTTCAAACATTTCTTTTGATATATAGTATTCAAATACATGGAGACAACTACTATTTTTTTTTTTTTTTTTTTGTTAATTTTTCTTTATGTAGACATAGATTGTTTTTCTTATTTTTTTTTTATTATGGTTTAATTTTGTTTTACTATTTAAAAGTGTTTTTTTATAATCTCAGTTTTCAGTTTTATATTTTAACATAAACAAATTTTATAATTTTTATCTTGTATCTTAGAGATAAAGGTAAATAGGTTTTAGGTTTTAGTTTTTGAAAGATTTATGATTGTTTTTTAAGGTTTTTCTTATTTTGTTTATAGGTGAGTAGTTGTTAGTGTTGTTTTTAAATAAATTTATGTCGTTTATGATAAAAAAAAAACATTTTTGCAAATTATGTTAAAATTTATCATAAACTCAAGGTAGTTTCATGAGCAATGTAGTATTAAGGTTAGGAAATAAAATCTTTAAAAAAAATAATCTCATAATGATAATATGCAAAAAAAAACTGCACTTTGAAGGCTTAATAAGCATTTACTAGGCTTGAGTAAATTTGCAATACCCTAGCAAACTAGTTGTATAAATAAGCAAAACCTAAATAGATGTCATTGGATTAAAAAACTATATTGAAAGTTGAAATTTGTAAAACAAGGCTGTTGTATATTTGCTAGCCTTGATAATTTACCACAAAACGGAATTTTTATTTTTGCTACTAAAAGTTTAAAAACTTTTTTAAAACAGCAAAAAAATTATAAAAAAATATTCTTTTTTTATTAAAATTTTTCAAATATTTATACATAATTTATCATATTGTAAACAATGCAATTTTAAAATCTCTTGTAAAATTGCAATAATAGTGCAGTTAAAAAAATTAAAAAAAAAAACTTAACTAAAATAATAATTTAGTAATTTCTTTTATTAAAGATTTTTCTTTTATTATTAAACAATAATCAGCCTTCGTCCCATTTTGACTATTAAATAAAATTACAAAAAAAAAAAAAAACGTAAAACAAAAAATAAAAAAATAAAATTTAAAAATTAATTAGTAACCTTTGTTTTGCAATTTTAAAAAAAAAAACTTATATCTTTTAACTAAACTACTTGGATCCTGATAATTTCAATAAACAAAATTTAATAATATGCCTAGTTTTTTTGGTTTTGTTCTTTAGTATAAATAATTATGGGGAAAGATAGCACGAGCAGGCAGATAATGAGGATCTTGTTGATTGCGATAACGACGGGCTAAAAAGACAGCAAGTACCTGGAAAAGAGTGAAAGGAAAGTTTTAAGTAAAGTTGGAAAATTTCAAAATTAAAAAAAAAAATATTTAAAAAGTATAAATAAAGAAAAAATATAATAAATAAAGTTAATAAAATTAATATTTAAAATAAAAATTTTTTGATAAATAACAAAGGTATATAATTTTAAAAAATTGTACAAAAACTTCAACGATAGTCGTGAAATGTAAGGTTTTAAACGAAAATCGTTCTTCATGGGATATTTTTTAATGAGAAATATTTTTAGTAAAAATTTGAATTTTTACTTAATAATCAAATTTTTTGTGAAAAAAAAACCTATTTTTTTAGTGGAAAACTAAATTTTTAATGAAAAATTTAATTTACTACAAATCGAATCGAACACATCGAATTTTTAGTAAAAATTTTATTTTTGGTCATAGTCTAGTCATAGTCTAGTCATAGTCTAGTCATAGTCTAGTCATAGTCTAGTCATAGTCTAGTCATAGTCTAGTCATAGTCTAGTCATAGTCTAGTCATAGTCTAGTCATAGTCTAGTCATAGTCTAGTCATAGTCTAGTCATAGTCTAGTCATAGTCTAGTCATAGTCTAGTCATAGTCTAGTCATAGTCTAGTCATAGTCTAGTCATAGTCTAGTCATAGTCTAGTCATAGTCTAGTCATAGTCTAGTCATAGTCTAGTCATAGTCTAGTCATAGTCTAGTCATAGTCTAGTCATAGTCTAGTCATAGTCTAGTCATAGTCTAGTCATAGTCTAGTCATAGTCTAGTCATAGTCTAGTCATAGTCTAGTCATAGTCTAGTCATAGTCTAGTCATAGTCTAGTCATAGTCTAGTCATAGTCTAGTCATAGTCTAGTCATAGTCTAGTCATAGTCTAGTCATAGTCTAGTCATAGTCTAGTCATAGTCTAGTCATAGTCTAGTCATAGTCTAGTCATAGTCTAGTCATAGTCTAGTCATAGTCTAGTCATAGTCTAGTCATAGTCTAGTCATAGTCTAGTCATAGTCTAGTCATAGTCTAGTCATAGTCTAGTCATAGTCTAGTCATAGTCTAGTCATAGTCTAGTCATAGTCTAGTCATAGTCTAGTCATAGTCTAGTCATAGTCTAGTCATAGTCTAGTCATAGTCTAGTCATAGTCTAGTCATAGTCTAGTCATAGTCTAGTCATAGTCTAGTCATAGTCTAGTCATAGTCTAGTCATAGTCTAGTCATAGTCTAGTCATAGTCTAGTCATAGTCTAGTCATAGTCTAGTCATAGTCTAGTCATAGTCTAGTCATAGTCTAGTCATAGTCTAGTCATAGTCTAGTCATAGTCTAGTCATAGTCTAGTCATAGTGTATAGTTTAGTGTATTGTATAGTGTATAGTCTAATGAATAGTCTAGTCTATAGTCTAGTCTATAGTCTAGTCTATAGTCTAGTCTATAGTGTAGTCTATAGTGTAGTCTATAATCTAGTCTATAGTCTAGTCTATAGTCTAGTCTATAGTCTAGTCTATAGTCTAGTCTATAGTCTAGTCTATAGTCTAGTCTATAGTCTAGTCTATAGTCTAGTCTATAGTCTAGTCTATAGTCTAGTCTATAGTCTAGTCTATAGTCTAGTCTATTGTCTAGTCTATAGTCTAGTCTATAGTCTAGTCTATAGTCTAGTCTATAATCTAGTCTACAGTCTAGTCTATAGTCTAGTCTATACTCTAGTCTAGTCTAGTCTAGTCTATAGTCTAGTCTATAGTCTAGTCTATAGTCTAGTCTATAGTCTAGTCTATAGTGTAGTCTATAGTGTAGTCTATAGTCTAGTCTATAGTCTAGTCTATAGTCTAGTCTATAGTCTAGTCTATAGTCTAGTCTATAGTCTAGTCTATAGTCTAGTCTATAGTCTAGTCTATAGTCTAGTCTTTAGTCTAGTCTATAGTCTAGTCTACAGTCTAGTCTATAGTCTAGTCTATAATCTAGTCTATAGTCGAGTCTATAGTCTAGTCTATAGTCTATGGTCTAGTCTATAGTATAGTCTATAGTCTAGTCTATAGTCTAGTCTATAGTCTAGTCTATAGTCTAGTCTATAGTCTAGTCTATAGTCTAGTCTATAGTCTAGTCTATAGTCTAGTCTATAGCGTAGCCTATATTCTGGTCTATAGTCTGTTCTATAGATTTCAAGTAATTTTTTCTTATCTCTACAGTCTAGTCTATATTCTAGTCTACAGTATTATAGATCGTCGACTATAATGTCTAGTCTATAGTATGGTCTATAGTTTACTCTATAGTCTAGTCTATAGTCTAGTCTATAACCTATTTTACAGTCTAGTTTATAGCCCAGTCTTTAGTGTATTCTATATTATAGTATATATTCTGGTCTGTAGTCTAGTCTATAGTCTGTTCTATAGATTTTAAGTCATTTATTTTTTATCTCTAAATTAAAGTTATAAATCGAATTAATTACTTTAAATTTCTGCCGTGAGAAAATCAAAAATGAAATATAAAAAAAATAAATAAAAAATATAACAAAACAAATAAACGATAAATCAAAGTAAAATTATTAAATAATCAAATAAATAAAGATTATTTTTTTAAACATGTATATATTTGCTCACCCAATTATTGATGGTTCTCAAGATTAAAGTTAGATAGTGTGAAAAAGTATGCAAAATTACTTCCAAAAACATTTATAAAAAGTTGTTAATTAGATTAATTCAGATGATTTATAATGATGTATTTAATATTTTAAAAGAATTTAATGAAACCCTGGTGTATTTAACGCTATGGCCAGAAAAAAACTTGGTGGATTAGTAAATAAGTTCTTATAAAATAATTGTTTACTTGAAAAAAAAAAAACGAAGGCTGTACGAGAGCATAAACGCAATTGGTTAAAGGCGTCAAGGGGAATGACGCTGTGAAAGGAATTCTTCAATTTAAAACGCAACGCTGCAATTGTGTTTATACTCTTGAGTAGAGATACAAGTTTTTAAATATGAAGTAATAAATATTTTGACTTAAAAACTAAAATTATTCGTAATAAATTGTATTGTTTTTAATTTGTTTATAATTATAATAATATATTGTTTATAAATTAAGTATGAATAATGTAATTAATGATTATTATGTATGGTATAATAATTTATACGTATATAATTAAGTATTAGAATGCATGTTTTCATTTTGTATATAATGTATGATGATTGATTAATGATAATTTTATGAATAAATATTAATTATATTTTCACGTATATGTATGTAATGTAATGTATAATAAATATTTGTTTAATAAACATATTTTTGTTTATTTAATTATAATTTATTTTTATTTTTAAATATTTTTTGTAAAATACCCCTAAAATACTAATTATTGTATGTCTGTGTGTGAAAGTGTGTTTAGTTAAAATGAGAATCTGTTTGGAGATTTTTTTTGGAAATTTTAAAGAGAAATGTGTCATTTCATGGACTGACTAGAAGAGTTTGCTTTTTAAGATTAGAATGTTTGTTGTTATTTTTTGTTTATTTTTGTATACTGTTACAAGTATCTAGATAAATTTAAAGAAATGCACTGGGTAAACCACGAGGATCTTTTTGGTTACGATAACGTACAGTTAGCCAAACACCAATAAACTATAAATAATTAGTTTTGGTTGCAGGATTAGTTGTTTTAAGCAATTGTTAGAGAAAGAGAAAATGAGAGAGTTAAAAATATTAAATGGTTAGTTATTATAGTAAATTTTAGCAGGCAAGCTTTAATATTAGGGATAATCACAGTTTATTATAAAAAAATTGCATTTGTTACAATTAAAATAATTAGTTCAAAATATTCTTTTAAAATGAGATTTAAATGACAAAATGTACGATTATCCCTAATATCAGATTCTTATAATGGTTATGATTATATATATATGTGTTTTCAATATTAACAAGTAAGAATGCAGCATATGTTCGGCTGTGCCGAATCACCTTAAGTTAATTTTTTTTTTCAAAATTTTTTAATTTAAAAAAATTAAATATCTGAAAAATTTGTTAATTTTTATAAATATTTTTTTTTATACATAAATTGTTTCCATCCCTGATTTCAGTCGTTAACTGTGACATTTCTTGTCTATAATAAAATAAAAACAACAAAAACATATGCTATATGTTGTTATTGTTTTCAGCTGTTAACTTTTTTTTACTGATTTTAAAAAGGAAACTTCTCGAAAGCGTGTCTGAAAGAATTAATGAAGATTTGAATCCCCAAGATATCTGGGGTCTGCAGAAAATTGATTTGAACAAATATATAAACAGACAGATAAATGGACAGACAGACGGACTCACAAACGGACAGAGATTAGTCAAATCCACTAACTATAAGGATCTGGAATATATATACGAATGTACATATTGTATTGCAACATTCGATTATTAAAGTTATTCGAGCTATACTAAAGTTATCGTTTAACCACTATAAAGCTGTAAATATGTATATCGTTGCGATATATAACCAGAGGCTAAATTCATTCGAAAGCGATCGAAACCTAGAATTTAAAATATTTTATTAGAAATTTCGATCGCTTTTGCCAGATTTTGTTCCTAGATATTGGAATAATGGGGGTAACCATTACCATAAAGTACTTTTTGTACCCACCAAAAATGATGAGGGTATATTGAATTTGTCATTCCGTTTGTAACACATCGAAATATTTGTCATAGATCCACAAAATAATATATATAATATTCTGGGTCCTTAATCAATTCTAAGACGATCTAGGCATATCTGTTCGTCTGTCTGTTGAAAGCTCGATAGAGTCCGAACGGATTGAGCTAGAGGATTTGTTGGTACTGAAAATGGGCATTATCGGTCCACGTTTTCGTATAGCCCCCATACAAGTGGACTCCCGAAAAACGGGTATATCTGTTTTAAAAGTATGAGTATTGCGATGAAATTCCACAAATAAATAAGTTTCATATGGTCCAAAATTTCCCTACTAAATTTTATGAAGATCGGTCCATAATTGACCCTACCCCCCGTATAAGGTCCCATTCATAAAGTGACTATAACGCTTATTACTGGCTTAAAAATACGAATATAGCGATGAAGTTCGACTCACATAATCAAAATCTCTTTATCAAGTTTTATGTGGACCGGTCCAAATAACTTTAACGCTCATTATTGGCTTAAAAATATGAGTAAAGCGAAGAAATTCGACCCAAGTAAGGTCCTTGCGAAACAAAATCTCTTAACCAAATTTTATGTGGATAGGTCCATAATTGAATTTACCCCCTAAAGAACGCTCTTTAGGTAATTAAATTAATGCTCGTAACTGCCTTAAAAGTACGAGTATAGAGATGAAATTCGACATAATTAAGTTTCTTACGAGCCAGAACCTCTCTACTGACTTTTATGAGAATCTACATATAATTGACCCCCATATAAGCTCCTCTTCAGAAAATGACTTTAAAGCTCTTTACTGGCTTAAAAATACCAGAAAAGCGATGAAATGCGACACACATATATTTTATACGAGTTAAAATCTCTCTACTAAATTTATTGAGGATCGGTCCATAAGAAAATTACTTTAACAATCATTGCCGACTTAAAAATACCTGAACAGATATGAAATTTTATATAAGAAACGTTTATAGGAACGAATTTCATGCGGAAAGTGTCGGGAAGTGATATTCGATGTAAAGATATACTATATGAACCAAAATCGGTCTAAAAAAATGTATGAAAAACGGTCAATAATTAACCCTATCTCTCATATAAGGCCCTCTTCAGTTAATTTGATGAGTAATATCACCCTGATGTTTACAGGGGAGGATTCCTTTTGCGGTACAGGGTTTAATGATGGGTATTTGAGATTCGGCACAGCCGAATATAACATTCTCATTTGTTTAGTAATAATATAATTTTTAGTATTTTAAAACCGTCTTAAGAAAAACTTCTTAATACTTTATAATAATCTCAACATATTCCAAGAAACCCCATTAATACCCCTCCCCCACACTTACCTCTGTAAAACTAAAGAATATACCCAAACCACCGCACAATTTAAAGGCATAATTGATTTTATCCTCTAACTTAGGCAAACAGGGTGAACACTGACAATTAACATCATACGATGAGCCGCAACATTGTTTATTAATAGCATCACATGAGATATCGGCCGAGGTCGTAGTGCTAGTCGAATTGAAGCCACAGCAAAGGAAAGTGTCTTGAACCTGTTTGCGCATAGAGTCGGGTACACGATTCCATCCTTCTTCAGCAAATTCTTGTTGCTGTTCGGAGTTAACAGCCAAACAAGAGCTGGCAATGGAGAATTGTATCAGGAAGAGTAAAAACAAAATGATCATGTACTATATATATACATACATATATAGATGAAAATAAGTTAAAGAAAACCATTGTTGAAAATATTACATTTAAATTATCTTTAAGGAAATAGGTTTTAATTAATACGTTCTTAATTTAAAATTTAACAGGCAGTTTTAAGTACGTTCTTGTTATTATTTTAAATAATTCTGTGATTTGTATGTTGTATTGCATATTTATACTATATTTTTCTGTTTACGTTTCTTTTTTTACTTTGTCTTTCAATTCTTTATTGTGTCATTGTCTTGTTGTTGCCGCTCTGACTTGAAGTAACGTCATGGGGTTCATAGTAAATTTGATAACCTTGTTTGTCGTTTACGTTTCATAAAAAATATATATATACCGTACTATATTTATATATATAAATCCCCCTGCTTGCCAACCAGCACGTTTATCATTTAGTCTGTGTGTCTGCTTAACTGTCAGTCTGATTATTTAAAAAATCGACATCATAATAAACTAATGGTTTGTTGCTGTCGTAGGGCCGTAAAAGGGGAGTTAAACTAACCTATATGTTAAGTGTTGGATTAGTCGTTCATACACCAACCAACAACTATCGTTTAAGTCTATGACTCTTACTCAATGTTTTATAAATTTGTTTCATTTTACTTTTCAGATAATTGTATTGACACAATAATTATCTCCGGCTTAATTAAATTTACCGTTATAATGTGCTTGTTCTCTCATTCGTTGGACGATTTGCAATTTAAATTGTATTTTTAATAAAATTTTATTTATAATTAAAATGTTTACAAACATTGAAAAGATTTGTGAATTTAAATGGTTGTTTAGAGAGAGAAAAAAAATTGCAGAGAATAAATGAATGACTAAATAAATGACGAAATTACAAAGAATTTGTTTGTAAAATCTGTTGTAGTTGTTATACCCTACACCACTTTAGTGCGAGGGTATATTGGGTTTGTGCTGATGTTTGTAACACACAATAATATTGGTCCTATACCCACCTTAAAGTATACCAATCGGCTCAGAATCATTTTCTGAGTCGATTTAGCTATGTCCGTCTGTCCGTCCGTCCGTCCGTCCATGTAAACCTTGTAATCAAACTACAGGTCGCAATTTTGAAGATAAATGAAATTTGGTACATGATCTTCTATTGTCGCAGGGACGAAGCGTATTGAAAATGGTTAAGATCGGTCCATTATTTCACCTAGCCCCCATACAACTGAACCCCCCAATAGGGCTTGTAATCCTTGTAATCAAACTACAGGTCGCAATTTTGGAGATAATTCAATGAAATTTGGCACATGATCTTTTATGGTATCGTAGACGAAGCCTATTGAAAATGGTTAACATCGGTCCATTATTTCACCTAGCCCCCATACAACTGAACCCCCCAATAGGGCTTGCAGTCAAACTACAGGTCGCAATTTTGGAGATAATTCAATGAAATTTGGCACATGATCTTTTATGGTACCGTAGACGAAGCCTGTTGAAAATGGTTTACATCGGTCCATTATTTCACCTAGCCCCCATACAACTGAACCCGCCGAAAAGGGCTTTTAAGTTCATAATTATGTTTAATATACTCATATCTCGACAAAAAGCTGCAAAAACCAAGTTGTATACAAGACTTGATGACCCTCACGAATTCCATAATAATAGGTTCTCATATGACCCTAGCCCCTATGAAAAGCCCCCATCTTAAATGCCCACAATTTTATTCAACAATAAACGGCTTAAGTATGTATATCTAAGGCAAGGTACAATTCAACTTAAATGCTTTATTATGGCAACTAAATCACATTATATTTTTGTCAAAGGTGTAGGGTATTATATGGTCGGCCTCGCCCGACTATAATTTCTTACTTGTTGTTAATGGATTTATATTTTTATAATTACCGCAATGTCATGGATTTGAGTGCAATATAGGGAGGTACGAGGTTATGAGGAGAAAATATTGGAAAGAGAACATTAAAGAACTAGTTCCTAGTCAATTCTCTTGTATCGAGAATTTAGTTAGAACTTCACTCCTAACAAATATTTGAAGAAAATAATAGGACCTCTCTTGTGTCTAGAGTTTTGAAAAGTAAACAAATTAGAGGACTAGTTCTCTTTCATCGAGAATTTAGTTAAGTAACGTTCACACCTATTAAATATTTGACGAAAATGAGGTAACCCCCAGTTGTAACTACCAAATAGAGAGATTCGTATATACTATATAAGATTCCCGAGGAATTAATTTCGTTAATTATAAATGTCCTTTATCAAAAGTCACAGTGGCCGTTTATCATTGGTCCCATTTTTTTTAATCTCAATATTTTTTTCTTTCTTATTTTTGATTTTGTTAAAAAAGGATACGAAAAACAGCATAACTTGATGATGTTTAACGGCACCAACCAGGCCCAGTATGGAAATTAATATTAAAATTATACCACATGCCAATATACCGCCAACAATAGGAAGATTTGTAACAATTGAAGCAGCACGAGCATAAACGCCAACGCCAATTAACAGGAAACCAACCAGCTGTAAAACATGAACAAATATATTTTTTTTTTAAGAAATTCATAAAACAACAGCGATAATATTTACAACAAAGTATTGGCTTTTGTTAAATATCTATCAAATACAACAATAGCAGCAACAATATGAATGAAATAGGCTTGTAATGTGAAAATATTTTGCAAAAATTAAGAAATAAAAAAAAATAATAATTAAAAGGAGAACAAGAGAGTATATTAGATTTGTTTGCAGCGATTTTTCGATGCCGTGCACTAGCTTAGGAGTAACAAATTGCCGGTTTCTTGAAATCCACAGTATCAGTTTATGTTAGAACTAGCAACGAAGTCTGCGCCAAAAGGACTAGCACTAGCGTAATTTCCTTTTAATTTTTCTAGCGTTCGAAACATAAAGCTACTATACATTTCTTAACAAGAACTTAAGCGTCTTAAAAACTATTCATTCCCTATATCACAGCCTCGGTTCTCTATGTGAAGTCTGTTTCGACGTCCGAAACCGTAATCTTTAGCGAATTCAGCTAAGTGTGGAATATTCCATAATCAATTCATATGTCATTACTGCAACGATCATGATCTCCAGCTAGGAGATCTTCATTACTATAGCGATCATGATCTCCAACTCGGAGATCTGCTAAGCTGGTAAATTCTGAATTCAATGCTCAAAGATAATTGGTTGAAGTGAGACGCAGAAACCTATTCAGCACTTTTAAGAGCAGTCAAGGAAATCGCCGTTTTAGAACAACCAACAATGCTCAATATAATATATTATGTATAGGATACCGTTATATCTTCTACTATTTTAATCTTTTTGTTGACCTTCAATCTTCAAATACTATCAACTCTTTAAGAGGGTTCTGCGAAACCCGACGGTGAATCCATAATCTCGATGTAATACCAAGATGGACCGCCGTAGCGTCTGCATCCTCTAGTGATCCGCTCAGGCAGATTTCACGTCCCTCAGTTGACGCCTAGAGACCGAAATACCCAGCCAATAGATCAGAATCTCTCTATATGTCGAGATAATGTGAGAAATTAAGTCAAACGAACCCAATAATTGCCCCGACAGGTTGAGTGGTGGACCTCAACCAGTAGTCGCATAGCATGTAACAATATGCATCCTGTTGAGATGGCAGCACCAAGAACTTCCCTGAAGTAAAAGCTATACTAAATCAGTACTAGTCTCTCGTCGAGTAAGAAGACTTTCCCGAAATTTCACCAATTCACACCAGTTCTATTCCCAGATCATAAAGAACAATCTACGAAATGACAGGCTACTACCGAATGTCAACCTAACAATTCCAGAACCTATACTGGAGCCCTACTACCCGAAGAGTAAGAGATACATAGAAATCCAACATAAGTTGCTCTGTCACATCACCCAGTGACATTGTCTCCCCGCAGAATTTGGGTATTAAAACACAGCCACTACGCGGATTCGAAGTAACCTCAACCAACTGACCAGCCAGGACAAAGTCCATGTCAAATTATTTCATAGAGAGACCATAGATGCATTTGATCATCATCAGTTTATTGTCCCGGCAGACTAGATATATTGGTAGCACCTCTTCTCCCCGGAAATTGCAGAGAGATTTTACCAAGGTAACATGCTCCGGGGGTCCTCTTAAATAAGATCTAATAATAATCTCTTAATGGAGAGGCCAAAGTTACTTATTTTAAAATCATTAAGATATCTCGGAGAAGGAACATGATATTTTAAAGTCGAAAGATTAAAATTTCAGATGACATATCAGATTTTATAAATAAAGAAGTTTTGGCGATATTATTACGTCTCTTTTTTAGGGCTTTATATCTCGAAAAAATAATGTGATGGAGATTGAGATTTATTCAATGATATAGGAATTTGCTAGTCTATAAATCAGAGAATTAACAATAAATATATTGTAATAAAATCGATTTCGGTCCAGAAATCTTCAGCAAACAAAAGCACTCCAGTTATAAATGTCCATTCCTTTATAAATGTCAAGCCTTCGGAAACTTAGATACTTAGTTTCAAAGATTTTCTTAATAAAGATGTCTTCACGCTGTTGTAATGTCACAAATGTGGTTAAAACGGGTGTTTTTCGATCTTTAGGATATGATATCTGGAAATCCTATTCATCGTTTAACTTTAGGTTCCTTCGGAAAAATAAATATGTCTTCACGCTGTTATAGCGTCTCAAATATGGTTTTTCCATATTTAGGATGCGATATCTTGTAAATACTAATGTGACAGATAAATTCTGAGGCCAGATTTGGATTCATCGTTTAACCTTAGTGTCGATAAATATTTAGATATTTAGTTTAAATGATTTTCTAAATAAAGATGCCTTCACGTAGTTATAACGCCTCACATATCTTAAAACGGGGTTTTTCCATCTTTTGGATACAATATCTTGAAAACCTAATGTGGTAGAGAAATTCTGAGGCCAGATTCGGATTAAGCTTTACTGTAATTATATGATAGTTGCTAAAGTTAAGTAAGAAATTCAAAGGACTTTGATTTCACTATTAGGAAAGTTTCGAATTGTTTTGTTCAAATCCAATTCGTTCCTAGATAATGCTATTACTTCAACAGACTGATGACATATGAACCGATAACACTAAAAACTGGCTGGTAAACAACAAAGTATCCAATATAAGTTACAAACGGTTTAACAAAATCAATATACCCGCCATGTTTGTGCTGATAAAAAAAACAGACAAAAACATTGAACCATTGATAATAATCCTAAACTAAATCAAAAATAAAAGAAGTAAAAAACTTGCAACAACAACAGCTGCAGCAAGATTTTTTTTTTTTTAAAGAACAAAGAAGAATCTTTATAACGAGATTGCTTTTACTTGTTTTTATAAAAAAAAAAACAAGATAAAAATCAAACAAGACAACAGAAAGAAAATAAAACAAATAACAGAGCATAAATAAACTCATAAAATAAAGAAGGGGTGAAATAAATCGATATTTATTTTACCAATACAAAAGACGTGAAAAGAAAACCTTGTGAAAATAGAAAAAATATTGCACAAGTTTTACAATATTGTTACTTTTTTTCTAAGTAAAAGGTGTTAACACAATATTTGCATTGAAATATTTCAATTACTTAGCAGGAGATCAATACGCCACTGTGTTTTTCTTTTTAGTTGTATGAAACGATTTTTTTTTTCCAATAAGAAATTTTCAAACAATAACTAAAAACGTACTAAGTAATGAAAAGAAGTGTGTGTACTTTGAGCCATTTGCTTTGTTATTATAGTTGTTGTGTATAACAAATTTGAAAGTATTGTTGTTGCTGTAGTTGTTGTATTTATTAAATTTAATTTAAGTTTTGTTTGCACTTACCACATATAAAATATTTAAAGCAATTAATGCATTTTTCGAACATGTAAAACCTCCACACATTTTGTTATAATTTTTTTTTAACTTCTCTTTTTGTCAGTCTTCTTCTTTTTTTGTTAGTTTGCTATTTTTTGTGTGTAAAAATTTTATATAAATTTTTACGATTTATTTAATTTGTTAGTTTAACTAAACACTTTCGCTTTTTTTTTTGTTTGAGGAGGGAATAAATTTCCCGTTTTTTTTTATTAACTTTTTATATTTTTGTAATTGTTGTCTGGTTGGGGTTGTTATTGGTGGTGTAATTTAAGTTTAGATTAATTATTATTTTTTTTTTATAAGAAAATAAAAAATAAATGTATACAATAATAAAATCTTTATTTTTTTCTTTTTGTCTGTATCGTTGCCGTCTTTCACTGTTCTTGTTTTTCTATACACTGTGTCTGTCGTTTGGATGTTTTTTTCCTTCTCTGTCCTCTCTAAAAAACACTAATTTAGCTGCTGTCAGTTACTTAATTTTTGTTTGTGCGTTTGACAGTTATTTTTAGTAGAGAATGGTGGAGGTGTGGTGAGTTCAATAGTAAATCAGTGCTGCCAACATTGAGGCGAAAATGTATGGGGAAAAAACACAGTGCTGTAATTTGAGTGTATTAACGGAAATGGAAATTTTAAAGTTGTTTAAGCAGCCTAGGGAAATTAATAAACTGGGGACATACAGCTAAATAAAATACAGGACTTTATCTTGATGTAACAATTAAGGGTCCATTGATCTCTTATACTCTAAGCAAAATATTCGGGGTCAAAGGTTACAAAATCACATTTTAGCAAATATCTAACTAATCTTGATTTCTACGATTTCAGTTGCTTCTATATTTCTATAGACAATTAGGTAAATTTTAGTTGAAGACAATTTTTGCATATCATTACTGGTTTTTGAGTTAAGGTACTATTATTTTTCCATTTCAGTGATATTTTAAAATCTTAAAACTTTTGCTATTTATAAGCCTATCTATCCATAATATTAGATAGAGTCACAAATTATAATTGTCTGTCTCTCGGGACGCTATGTAGACTGCTCTTATAGACAAAGGTATGTATACAAACGAAATTTGGATGCTGAAATTACAGTTCGCTTTAACGGAAGAGAAAGCCTTCCCTTTGGGACCCACAAAGGTGTGAAACAAGGTTGTATCCTATCGCCCACCCTCTTCCTGGATTCCGCTTTAGAAACAACAAATAATTAGGCAGCTTGTGGGCATTCGTTGAAGCTTCAACGATTTCCTTGGCGACATTTTCTTTTTTCTGCACAGCGTTGTGTACATAAAAGCCAAGCTGGAACGCCTGAAGAAAAATGGATCTGGTTAAGTCACATCTTACGACGCCCACATAATGATATAGCTAGATCTGTCGTATACTGGAACCCCCAGGGGCAGCGTAGAAGAGGCCGGCCAAGAAACACCTGGATACGCTGTACTATACGAGAAATAGAAGCAGCCCAAATACCCTGGAACCACACAAAAACATTGGCCAAGAATAGAGTTAGATGTAGAGAGCTTGTGAATGCCCTATGTTCACTTTGAACCTACTAAATATCGCCTGGATTACATAGAAGTATTCTAATAAGGTTATATGGGCAGTAGGTCCAAGTATGGACCAAAGCTGATGAAATTATGTTTCTTATAATAATATTAGAATACGATTTCTACTTGAGCTTCAAATCATGTATTAAAATCATGCAGAAAAATTCTATGATCTTGCCTACATCATTGCCAAATTTCACCTGCTTGTCATAAAAACTTTATTAAAATATTTAGTCAATCCTGTAGATATGCCCGGCTAGCTCAGTCGGTAGAGCATGAGACTCTTAATCTCAGGGTCGTGGGTTCGAGCCCCACGTTGGGCGCAGAAATACTTTTTTTTGATGACAAAACAAATACATACATGTAATTACAGAATAATTGAAAAGTCAAAAAGTTTATACCGATTATGCGACTTTATTTATAGAATCGTTAAAAAAAGTTAAAATCCAAAAATAATTTTTATAATTCCTAAAATATTTACAATTACTTAGCGCAGGTAACACATAAGATCTTGAGCATATTTTCTATGGATCTTTAAATAAATACATACATTGTAATTTATGTTACAAGCGCGATCATGCGCTATTGCCAAATTTCATTTACTGGGTACATAACAGTAATTGAACATAGTGTGCTTAACAGCCCGGCTAGCTCAGTCGGTAGAGCATGAGACTCTTAATCTCAGGGTCGTGGGTTCGAGCCCCACGTTGGGCGCAGACAAATATTTTCCTTGAAAATTAAATGTTAATGGAAAAAATTAACAATTAATTAATTTCAAGATCAATTACAACTTATACAAGAATGAAATTACTAATTAAGTTGTTTAATTAATTGTATCTTAATGAATCCGTTAAGGCCAATTAATCTAAATATGTATACATTCATACAAGTTTAAAACGTTTTCCAACCGAAATTTAATTGATTAAGTTTTTAAGTGATCTTGCACTATTGCCAAATTTCAGTTTGTGTGGCAGTGACCTAATTCTAACAGCCCGGCTAGCTCAGTCGGTAGAGCATGAGACTCTTAATCTCAGGGTCGTGGGTTCGAGCCCCACGTTGGGCGCAAGGTAATTTTTTATAATCTGTATTATTTAACACATTAATTTAAAGTTAATTAAATTTGGCATTAAGTCAATTAATTGTTTTGCAAGTTCATGAATAGAATAAATGATCTTAATACTTATGGACAACATTTTTCTTTAAATTCATGTTTAATTAATTGCTGATTCTGCGGCATTGCCAAATTTCATTAATAAAGTGCCGAATTTGTATGTAAATTGTGATGACCAAGTTCCAACAGCCCGGCTAGCTCAGTCGGTAGAGCATGAGACTCTTAATCTCAGGGTCGTGGGTTCGAGCCCCACGTTGGGCGCAATTTAATATTTTCCCACAAAGAAAATGAAAATTAATTAATATATATATAATTTTTACAATTCTCGAATAATAATTTCATATATGGAAAATCTCTTAAGCAGTTTGTAATTAACAAAGTCAATTGTTAATTACTAATGATCCTGCTAGTAATTGAGTTTCTTATATACATAACTGCTTAATAAGATAGATCCATAGCTTATATTTCTGTGAAAACTATTGTGACCTATATTTCAACAGCCCGGCTAGCTCAGTCGGTAGAGCATGAGACTCTTAATCTCAGGGTCGTGGGTTCGAGCCCCACGTTGGGCGCAATCGAATATTTTCCCAAAAGAAAATATACATTTTATTTAAAATGTATATAATTCTTGAATAGACTTTCCACAATTAGAAAATCCTTATAAGGATTTGTTCAAGGCAACTGATCTTGTCAGTAATTGAATATTTTATAGAATTTTTTAGTTATTTTCATTCAACCTACAAATTTCTGTGTAGGTTATTGTGACCTAGTTCCAACAGCCCGGCTAGCTCAGTCGGTAGAGCATGAGACTCTTAATCTCAGGGTCGTGGGTTCGAGCCCCACGTTGGGCGCAGCTAAGTTTTTTGTATAAGACATTTCAATGATTACATTCTCATTTCATATTGCTGCGAATAACTATTGTACAGCTTCGTTCCCATGATCTTCGATCCGGAGCGACCCGAGTTTGTCATATGCGCTCAAAGACGACCTTAGTGATTTTCGACGGCAGTGAATCAGTTTGTTATATGTAGATACAATCCTCCAAATTAATGACTAAAAGATGAAGCTCTTATTTTCTTAGAATATTTTAGATCATTTAATTCTTGTCCTTTTAACGCTTTATATTCATACATATGGGGGTAAGGTTAATATGGTCCTATCCTTCTAAATTTTGATAAAGTGATTTCGATTTACATTAAAATTATTTATAGAGAATTTTATCGTTTATATGATCCCAGTAAAAACTTTCATTACCATGTAAGGGGTTAAAATGCTAAAATTTACTTACACAATAGCATTTTAAGTCATTATTTTAACACGGTGATGTCATTGGAGTCAAGTACTTACCACAAACGATTACAAGTAATTAGAAAAAGTAGTCATTGTAAATCGCATGAAAAAACGTATACAGCTTCTATATCTTTACTGGCAAGATACCTAATGAATTAGAAAGTATTAGTAAGACCTTATTAGACCACTTCTATGTAATCCAGGCGATATGTAGTAGTCACTGAAAAGTATGTTGTTAGGTAAGTAATTACAATTGAAAGCTATTACCCAGTTTTTGCTGGGATATCAGTGTTTATAAATAAATTATTGAATTTTAAGTAATTTTCTGAAGATTACTTTGTATGGGGACAATGGGTCAAATGAAGCCCAATTATTATCAGTGTTTATAAATAAATTATTGAATTTTAAGTAATTTTCTGAAGATTACTTTGTATGGGGACAATGGGTCAAATGAAGCCCAATTATTACGAAGATCGGCAGTATCATTTAGGCTTAAATAAAACTAAGTCTTGCTGGTTTGTGTAGTTTTACTAGAACATTTAATATGCATAATTATGAGCTCAAAAGACCCATTCCGGGGGTACGGTTGTATGGGGGGCAGGTGAAATAATGGACTGATTTCAACCATTTTCAACAAACTTTGTCCTTGGGTCAAGAGAAGTGTATCAAATTATGCACATAAGGTTTACATGAGCACACAGTACCGCAATTCTGTAATTTTTTAATTTTAACTACCTATATCGTAAAGTAACGTCAAATATCGGTTGCATTAACGAATTTTCAATTCTGTAACTCTTTAACGACCTTAGAATATTTTAACGACAAAGATCGGGAAAATATGAGATTATGATTATGTTTAAAGAAAAAAATCGGTGAAATAAAATTCAGAATACCACATAACGACATTTGTCGTTAACTTACGAATTTTTACTATTTAACGACAAAATTTTGTAGTTAAAAAGTTACTGAATTGCGGTACAGAAAGTGATTCTGAACCGATTGTTATATTTTAAGATGTAGGACCAATGTTTTTGGGTATTACAAATATCAGTACAAACGCATAATAATACAGCTTAAAATCAGATTAAAATAATATATTGACAAAAAATTTGACTGCGCCCAACGTGGGGCTCGAACCCACGACCCTGAGATTAAGAGTCTCATGCTCTACCGACTGAGCTAGCCGGGCTGTTGCCAACCTCCTAAAAACCTGTTCAACTTAAGCGCGTTATCATGTAAATTGCAGGACTTAAAAATTATTAAAATAAACAAATGCACAACAGAAAAGCTTTTGAACATTAGCAGCAACTGTTATAGTTAACAGTAGTAACTTTTATATGTTAGTGTAGCCAACTATATTGAAATAATGCTAAGACAAAAAGCTGTTTAATTTCAAACATTAAAAACCAGTGACAGCCAGTATTTGTTGTATTTTTTTTTTTCAATTTCTAACTTAGTTAATGTCTCTAAAGTTGTGTTATAGTTTTAATTAAAACAAACAGCTGATAGTT